CGAAGTATTATAACAACATTTGCAGTAAATCAAAATGTAAAATCAACCAAAATATCCATTTTCTGTTGAAAAACTCGATTAAAAAACAAATCATTGAACTCCAATCGTAAATTATCCAAAGAAAGCTGAGGCTCTTATGCAATTTCTGCGAAGCACATAGAAAATCCCACTTCGATTCGAAACCGTTCTAAAATATGGTCGGCAGATTATCCGCTCAAAATTATTCAATCGAAGTTCTTTAGCATACTTATGTGTACTTTTTGCTCATCATTTCCAATTTCCAAGTGCGCGAACTGTTTACATTTCGATCAAAAATCCATTCATTCTTGAAGTTTGGTGTATTATACGTGTTATACGTACGCGCTTCGCCAACAACCGAGCAATTCAAACAAAATCCAATTTAACGTATGTAATAAATGCACATAATGAGTATGTTCTGTTCGTTCTCTGAATGTGGTATTCGCTGGCGAATGTATAGAGCCGGTGCGCACTATTGCACTTCAAAACAAATTCCAACACGAAAGTGTGAGTTGTGTGTGTGGGCTACTGTGTGTGTGTCGTTCGGCGTTTGTTACCATTTTCCCTTTTTACCCGGCTTTGTTTCTGTCATATACATTGTTACTGTCGAAGAGTTAGATGTTACATGGTGTTGTTGTTATTTATTTTGCCTCACAGAACTATACTACAGGCAATCTGTCACGCTGTTGTACGCTTCGCGCTCACTCTATCTTTCTGTGAATGTATTTAATTTCCATTCGTTGGATTTTTGTTTCGTTCGCTATTATGTTTTGGTCGTTTTGTTGAGAGTGTGACGATCACCTGAAACCGATTCGCTGTTCAGTTCATTCTCAATGATATGCGCGATGTGACTCGTCAATTCCGTGTGCCAAACATTTGTCATTCACACACAATATCTTGGTTTTGAAACGAGTGAATTTTATACTGTGAGAAGTTCGGAAAAAAGGTGTTTTGAATTGAACATTACTTTATTTTGTGGAACTGTGTGACTTTGGTGAATATTATATGTGAATGCGGGTATTTATGCATTCAATAAAGATAATCAATTGTCATTAAGCAAGAATGGTGGAACGTAATAATAAAAGAATAATTGCAAAGTCAAGTACAAAAGTGCAAGTTTTTATTTTACCTTTAAATGAACCCTCGAAGCAGTCTTCACTTTGAAACCGATTTGAATGCGTTGTGTTTTGTGATCGTTTGTTTATTGCATAAAAAGAATCATGTGTAAACCAATAAAAAATGAATTATTTTTATTATTTGTGCGGTGTATATGAGATTTGTTTTCGAACACCGGCCAAATTGACTGAAAAGCAGCAATCAAAATCGGAAGAGCCAAAATTTTACGATTATTCCGAGAAATCGATCGCCGAAAGTTTCATAGGTGCTGCAACGGTGAATATATTTTCGACAAAAAGTCCCAATTTTCCACCGTCACTGAGTCATACGAAAACGTCAACATTTCACAATACTGATTGGGACATTGTACCAAAATCATGTACCGGCGACTGGTTATTACGATATTCACAAAATGAAACGAATTTCAATCCATGGCACTTTGATGCGAAATTTTCACATTTTGAATTGGTGCCGTGGCGTCAACAAAATAAACGAATCGATTTAGCAAATGCAATCGGCTGGGAACCGGCCCAACAAACGCCAGCCGCACAACAACAATTGCGCACATTACAAAAATTCGAATTGGCCCGTTCGAAACGATTACAAAAACAACGATTGAAACTACAACGCGAAAAATTTCGACGACAAATAAAAATTCGTTTCATTTTATCGTTGGAAGTGAGACAAAAGAAAATGAAATTACTCCGTTCGAATCGATCAAGTGCAACGGCAGCAGCCACCTATCAACGCAAACTTGTATTGCAACGTGATCAACATTTATTTGTGTTCGATGAGCATGCATACGATTTGGCAGAGCATTGGGGCTATTTTAGTCAACGTAACAAAGGTGTGGAAGAAATGCTAGTCAATAATGCATCACAATTGAATTTGTCACGTGCGCACAGAAGCATTACTTATCCGAATGCATCATCATCGTCAACGACGCGACGAAGCACACCCGAAACGATCATTTTCGCCAAAGAAACTCAACCAACACAAAGTGATGTGGTCATGTCATGCGAAAAGTGCCACAGTCGGTGTGTAGCTTATTGTGTTTTTTTTATATTTGGACTTAGTGTTGTGACAACCGGAAAAGTTTGTCCGAATTCAATTGATTTTTGACAAATCTCATTCGGCCGAAACAATTCAACTCAATTTTTTTCAGTTTTACCATTTCATTGCACTTTCTAACAATTGAACACTTGTGCTAAGATCTTTCCTCCTTTTGGAGTTTTATGTGGTTAATTCATACCACACATAGTTTCATTGTGCGAAATACATAAATCTTAATGGATGATGACGAATTCCCAGCCATTTACAACAAACATTACGATCATCTTCATGTTTCCTTTCTTTCATTTCATTAGCGTAACGAATCGACTTCTTTTGAATGGTTTTCACTTGCCATTTTAGCCACAAAATCACCATTCCATTCGAACCAAATAAGAAGATAGCATTTAACCCGATTAGACATTAAAAACCAACACAAATTATTCCACACCGTGCTAAGTTCAATGCGGCTAAGTTCAATGATGATGAGTACAAGTAAAAACGGCTGCTAAAATCAGTCGCACCACATGAATTTGAACGAGCTTCAAGTGGATTTAAGTTGTTTTTTATTATTGCGTAATTTACATGTTTTGCTCGTGAATTTTTGGATGTTTTTCAAGAAAAAAAATGTTATTGCAAATTGTGTGTTGGCGCCCTGAAAATCGTTTTACAAAGGAAGGGAAAAAGTGCAAAGAGCCAAGGGGAAAAAATTTGTGTCAAATTATCAATTAGCGATCTTTCAACAGCGATAAAAAATCTTCTTTTATTAGGTTGAATTTTTTCATCGTTTGAAAAAAAAAATGAACGTTTTCAAATTCAATTACTATAAAGTTATTAATTATTATAAAGTTAAATTCAGAACTCAATCATAATATGATTATAATGTTAATTAATTTGAAATGAAAAAATAAATAAATAATCGGTTTAATGCTTAAATCGAAACTGATGTTCTCACTCGTAGCGATTCTCGGAATTTATAAATTAAAATACATGCACGTTTTCAAGTGCGCCATTCAAGCAAAACCATTTAACATTTTCACATCCAAGGTCTTTTTCAACAGAATATTCTTCGTCAGTCATGTAATTATCTTTTGTTTGTTTTAGCCCTTCGCGTATGTGGCTCAGGAGGTGTGAGTTTTGCCGTTTCGTTTTTTTCGTTAGAAGAAAGTAAAGTTGAACCGCCGACGAGACGATGAGATCTCTGAGATTAGATAAAACAAAAACGATGTATTTTAGAAACAATAGATGCGATTCACATCGCTATGTATTTTTACATCGAGTCATTACATTTTCACACTTTAACTGAATTTTCGGTGGGACAACCTGAAACGTACTACTCTTTTTTTGAAGTGTAATTCTATCTTCGCGTAGAACGTGACAGTTGAGAATTTGGGCACATTACGTCGAGAAGAAATGGTCCACAATTAGTTTTTCTTCATTGAAATAATGTTTTGGAAAAAAAAGTTCTTCAGGTCAAATTTTGAAGAAAATAAGAAAAATAAAATGACAATTTTGCGTGTTGAAATAATCTCGAAAACTTAGCTGTCGTGGCCTAAAACATCCATTAATCAAAAAAGGAGGTTTCTCATTCTCATTCAATCATTTTATTTATTCATTAAATGACCGAATAGTGCGTATTTCCGCGAATTAAATGGAACTAGCAAAACTATAGTACCGAGAATAGACTCACTGTACAGCCGACAAACCGAGGTCACAGTACTCTCCTCGCATTTATATTGTTTTCAGTTGACAATTCATTATCAGATTCAGAGTGTTTGTTTGGCATTGAAATGGGCAAAAAAAGAGTAGAAAAGCATTGATTGAAATCGGAATTCATCTTTCATTTTGGTTCCGACTTTGTGTCGAATCATTGTTCCGTGCGTATTGAAAGAATAATTGTAATTAAAATTAACGCCAGTTTATTATGTGTAACTGCTTATGTGAATTCAAACGCACAAACCATAACACTGCAACTAGAATTGAATCCATAAGCTCCGACTGTTTAAAAAAAAAAAATAAACAAATATTTTTTTGTTTGCTTGGTTTTTTTCTCTCTTGCTTACCAAACCGCCAATTAACGATCAACGTCTGCTGGGTATCGTTCATTGAACTACCGAATGGTTTTCGAGCGAGCAGCTCATTGCACCAACGATCGTCAGTCGTTTGGCGCACATTTTTGTTTTCAACCGCACATACTTTCTGTGTGAAATTCATTTAAGTAGTCAAAAAATGCAAATATTATGCTGCATTTCATCGACTCATTCACACAAGCAGAAAAACAAACGTAAAACATGTTACATTCCTATGTCCGTTATGCTAAATTCATTCTCATTCTCTCCCCATTTTCTTTTTCTACGCAATTTCGTTGGCTGTGTATGTTATCGATCAAATTTTTCGTTGAATAAGTTCTTACTTATTGTTTTTTTATTGATTTTTTTTTTCGTTTAATAAGCACTTTTACCCATTCGAATATGATTTCTTTTTTTTTTTTAAATTAAATACAATGATATAGTCAGGTTCTAACTGGGAATTTACGTGCTATGGAAAATATGTAGAAAATATTTTATATACGCTATTAAAAAACTAGCGCTAAAGTGTACAAAATGACACTAATGACTCATGAATATAAAAGTTTATGTTTTCAATTTTGTTCATGTTTTCTATTGCTATTTGTGCAAGTCTTTCGATTTGCAAACGCGAACAAAACGCCGAAAGATAGGCAATTCTATGGATACACTTTTATTTTACTCCATCTCCACTTTTTGTTCAAATTTTATGCAGCTTTCACTGTAATTATTTTTTCTTTTTTCATACAGACCAACACTGGGTTGTAACGCAGCAACGGAACTCAATATGCACACGCATTTGGGTCCGCTTAATTCATCGCCAACACATCCATTGATCGTGCCGTCAATGGATCGGCCTGGTGGCGGTGCTTTGCCTCTTTCGCTTTTTTATGCTTCAGCTCGTGGATGCTTAGACTGTGTAAGGCTCTTGGTAGAAGCATCTCCAGAAATCAGGTAAGTCTCGACGTTTTTTCCACTTTTTATCGAATGGTCGAATTATGACATTTTTTTTTTCTAAATATATAAAAAATATGATAGTTTAAAATAGAAAAATGTATTCGAAATAGAAACCGATTTTGTAATCGGTTCATGCTGACTACACGGTATTATAATAAGCAAAAATTGATATAAAGAAATTCAATGCACCAAGGGAAAAACATTATTTTTGCTTCTGATATGGCTCGAATAAATAAATACACGTCCGAACGTTGACGCAAACGGGATAGAATTCTGAATTATGAATAATTAGTATATTTATGCACATTTGATAAGACTCGATCTAGACTCTTGAAAATCGACTTAAATGTTAGTTCGTACTAAAAACTTTTAAACCCGTCTTCGATTGCAAGTAAACTTTGCATTTGTTTTGAATATCGCAATTTTTGCATTTTTCATGCTGAATCGCCATGAATTTGCATTATCGTAATCAGTAAAAATGACATCTTCCGCGTTACGCGCAGTCTGCAATAAAAAGATATAAGGAATATCTTAGCATCCGTTTTTACGACGAATGATAAATGCATATCAAAAACTACATACATTTTTTTTACTACAAAAAAATCCCATAAAATGTAAATAAACATCATAAATCCTTTCAGTTCATTCAAAATTCTCGAATAGTTCAGTTTCAACGCCAAAACAGCAGTTTCTTTAAAAAAGAAAATGAAAATTGTATGGATTTGGTGTGTATTGTGTGAGATCATCATGCTTGTTCTTTGTACAGAAGTACCATTGACTTGTGATGAATTCAAAGAAGAAGAAATATTATACGAAGGACTTTATTGCACAGTGGCCGGTGTTCATTTGGGTGATTTCGATACGTTCAATTGCAATGTGTATCCATACTATCGTCATTTGGTTAAAGTTGTGAAATTCACCGATAGTCGTACAATTAATGTACCCTATATGATATTTCATTACTTCGAGGGTATACGTGAATTTGATATATCGTTTACCGAATTGGAGTCGATTCGTCGCGGTGATTTTATCAAAGCTGAAAATCTAATGTATTTAACGGCCGCACATAATAAAATGTCGGAACTGACATCGTCATTGTTTTTGGGTGCTCCAAATATATCCGTGGTGGACTTTTCGTACAATAACATCGAGCGTGTTAGTGCAAGTGCGTTTGCGAGTGCATCACTAATGTCACGATTACATTTGTCACATAATTCAATTCGTACATTGGATAAAAACACATTCGCAACGATGATAATGTTAGACGAATTGTATTTGGATTTTAATCAATTGGAATCAATCGACGTGGATTTGTTTGCGCATAACATACTATTGGCTCGCCTGTTCTTGAACAACAATCGTATCATTCAATTGGATTGTGATTCGATAAAGGATTTGAAATACTTAAATAAAATCGATTTATCGGTGAATAAATTGCAAGAATTTAACACGAGCTGTGTATCAGGCATTGATTTGGATTTAATCATTCACGATAATCAATTGAAAAAGCTGACACTGCGCAATGTGGCTGCTGTTCATGCGTCGCATAATCAAATCGAAAACATTTACATCGAAGACGGCATAAGTAACTTGAAAAGTTTAAAGTTGGCCGCCAACAACTTGACCAATTCGAATGTCACGAAAATTTTCGAGCATCTTAGTTCGTTGGAAACACTTGATTTGTCATATAATTACGTGGGCAAATTAAACATCGGCACATTTGCCAAACTCACAAATTTGGAGCACCTTCATCTTGGACATACAAACTTATCCAATATTAATTTCGGAACGTTTTTCCATCAAAAAGAGCTCAAATCTTTGGATCTTTCTTATAACAATCTGACAGTCTTGAATTTTGACGTATTTTTACCGTATTTAAAAAATTTGGAGTCACTTGTACTGGATGGCAACAATTTAACCGAAATGGAAGGACTGACGAACAGCATGTTTCCGCAATTGTCAATGCTCAGCATATCAAATAACAGTTTTAATTGCACTTATTTGGCCAAGTGGTTGCGAACACTGAAATGGGATGAACTTGGACTGAGCATCGACCCGGATCTGGTTCATACCAATGAAACGCATATCAATGGCATTGCATGCGATCACCGGACCAACGATTCCATTGCATATAATCGCATTCATAGCGACCACTACGATCACCAGTACAACGTTCACAAGGCAATTGTTGCAATTCTTAATCCAAGCCACAACAATCATGGCAACAAAACCGATAATGACAACAGCAACAACGAAGGCAACGGCGACAGCGATATTCATGAATTACATATTTCAAACTCGGTAGATCGTGAACGTGTTCTGGAAGCGCATTTGTTAACCATGAAATATTTACTTGTATTTATCTGCTGTGTTTGCCTCGCATTTGTTATCACAAAATTTGTAACCATCTTTCGCGCACATCGTAAGCTTGACTTTCATGTGGCCAGCTGCAATAACGGAGTTTATCTACAGGACAGCGACAAATATGACATTTATCAATCAACAGCAACCATGAATACCATACAAACAAATGTCGCCTACTGAGAAAATACAACAATCGGAAGATGCTCAATCGAGCATATCAGCTTCATTTGGCTTTTGAGGATGAAATTCATTTGTTGGAATAAATTTTGAGCGGATTTGAGATTTTTTTAGATAGAGATTTAGAAAGAAAAAAGTGAAAAAATAAAAATAACAAAAATGTTTACAACAAATCTGAAAATGTAATGGAAATGATGAAATTTGCCAATTTTTGCAAATAAATGTGATTAGATTACTAGAAATCTTCGAATTTCACTTGGTTTGAAAATAACTTAAGTTATTCAGTAACGATTAAATTGATATTACGAAAACCTATTTCAGAAAGAAGGGAGAGGAAACCCGATAAGAAAGTGCAAGAAGATTACAGTAATACGAGATAAAGAGAATCACTTGAGAGTTTTGCGTTCATTTAATTGCTTTTAATTTGTAATCGCATTCTAAAAATAGCCACAAAATGCTTTCTTTTATTTCGGTTAACACTTTAAACATATGATTTCATCTGTGATAAGCATGACTCAGATTTATCTCAGCCTATGTTCGTTTTTAAACATTTTTGAATCAAAGTTCTTTCAATTTTTCTCTTTTTTTAATGTTAATCTTAAAAAAGGAGGTCGTTCTTCAGAGTCTTCAAATTCGAAAATACGTCTCTGAATCTTCATCATGTAAAAGATATATGAATTGAATCATTTCATCTAATAACCGGTATGCAATTTCTTTGTATTCATTTTATAAGTTGCATTGGCATCAAAATCTTGTTTGCATCTCGTTGAAATCTAAGTATAGCTCAAATAGTGATCTGAATACCGTCCTGCGAAGTCAAACAGTCAGTGAATTGGTGTTGTTTTCATTGAATATAGGCTGATTTGTTGGTTTTAAACGTAAACTGAAATCTATTCGCCTATTTTAATGTGAACCAGTCAATTGTTTGGACCAAACCGTCGGTAGTCCGGTTTATTGAATTTAAATTTCTACACGCTCATCTCGTTTGAATGACTTTATTCTACCGAATGACGGAGAAATCTAAACCAACTAACGGCTTGCAATAGTTGCAGCCGTGAAAGCGATGCAATTGCCCATCAAAAAATATCGTTTTTTAGAATAGAAAACATTCATTACAAAAAAAATAGGTGAGTTAAATTGTGTCAGAAAATGGTGCGAGCACGACAGTCGCTCTTTTTTCTTAAATTTATAATTTCATTGGTTTCGATAATGGCATTTATTGCAATGAAATGTATTAGCATAATGGCACTTTTTTACTAACCTCATTTGAAACTTGGAAACAAAAAATTGGTTCGATGTCTATATGTATTCCAATAGAGACTTGCTTACTGTTCGAACCAGATGTTCAGTTGCACGTTTGCCCACAATTTGCTGGCTCTCTTCATGCAGACTGAGTTTAAAATTTAAATTAAAGATTGTGACTTAGATAAATCGCACATATACTCGAGCTTTGTACTGACTTGTGCACGTGAAATAAGCTTGAAAACTCAACATCTCTTTTTGTTTCACTTTTTTTTTCATTTTTCGGTGTATAATTGCCCGCTTTTTCCCGCTAATATTTTTTATTCGTTCAAAACAAATTTATTACCGTCTTTATCTGGTTCCACTATTGAGCACTGCCACTCTTGAAAAAAACTGAAATCAGCATGCTTACGATTGTAACCGTTAGATGCGCGTTTACTTTTTTTTCCTCTGTCTAAACATGATTCAAGGTTTCCATTGTTCTTCACTGTTTTCGTCTTGCGGAGAATTTTTGATGCAGACAAATTATAAAACTTGACCCATTTGTTTGGGGGAACAAAGTGAGAAGCTTAAGTGGCAGTAATGATCACGATTGAAAACAAACAAAAATTGGATCTGCTATCGGCAATCAATCGAGCATAATGGGTTGCTTTTTTTGACGCCATCAAAATTGAAAGTTAAATCATCGTTTCAATTTCTGGAGCTATGACTTGAAGATAGAAAAAGAAATTGTACAAAATAAATTCCATTAGAAATCACCTTCACTGGCGAACTTTTATCGGCCACACACCCAATTCAACAACGGACACATTTTCGATTTCAAGCAATTATTTTACACCACTTTTATCGCAAAATTACAAAACCCACAAAGCGCGGCAAAAAAAGCGATGGGCTGTTTGAGTGTGATCGATGAAAATTGATTCGAAAAAAAGCATAAGCTGAAAATAATACAAAAATCCATGGGTAGAGGAGGTGGCACGGTACAAAAATGACCGCAGAATGATAACGTGATTGAATTGTAAATGAAAGGAGTGAAAAAAAAAACAAACCAGTACGGAAATGGTTTAATTGATTTGGTTTAATTGAAAAATGAGGTAATTGAACCGATTTCCCGAATATCAATTGCTCACAAACCATATAGACCGCCGCCGGCTGACAAGATCCACATCAACGTTGTGGCGGTTTGGGCAGTTATCGATTTTGTTATTTTACAATTGGTCGATCGATGTTCGGCAAATGGTTGCGCCCATCAATTAAAGAACGTGCACGCACGATCCAAATTAATAATGTTATTATAAATTAATTTAACGTGCGAGATACTAAAAGCAATTTTTGCTTTTGTTTGTCCAATTACGTTGCATTTGCTTTGGATTCGAACGCGGTTTTTTCGGGAATCTACGTTATTTTTCTGCACAATGTTTTTGAGTGGAATTGCGCTTGTTCAAATGTAACAAACAAAATAATAATTAAAAATTGCAACAAATCACGAAATTCGTAGTGCCATTCGATGTAATAAGTTTGTTTTGTTTTTCTTTCTCAATTTCAATGGTCGGTTTCAGTTTCAGTGCGCGAGATGCATACAATCGATGACATCAAAACATACCTCGCCGCATGAGTATCATTGAGAAATTATTGAACAATACTGTTCTCTTGAAAAAAAAAAAAAATAAACAAACAAAACCCAATGGCAGCAATCAAAAAAACCTACAAAACAAGCACCCGAGTAAGAGCATAGCGTCAATACCATTTTTGTGCGCACGCCAAACGGTATAAACAATTGCAGTGCAAAAACAATTAAATAGTGCGCGATTTTCAGCCGCTCTCTTTAACTGTATCGCATATAAATGCGCGATCAATCGAAAGAACCATGAAGTTTAATAATAATCACTCAATATTGAATCGTATTTTGCTACACAAACCTGCACATATGTAAATTTAAGCATACATCTCAATTGTGGTCTGGTCAAAACATTGATTTCTTCATCAAATGTTTATCGTGTTATTTTCGCTCCGTCAAGAATTTTCGTTTATGTGTATAACGACAAAGATCGGCGATCATTCATCGTCAGCAGCAGCATTATCAAAGCAATGAAGAAGAGAAAAAAATGAGATCAATGAAGAAGAAAAATTAAAACACAACAATGTTTGAGATGAATAACAGTAAAAACAGCACATGTTACCATATTGACTGCAGAGTCAACAATATGTATATTTATGTAGCATTTTGGCCGACATCGATACAAATACAAAACGTGTATTAAATGAAGAAAATCAAGCGATTCGCGTTTGAGCGCAGTAAATACACTTCTATCGTTCCATCATTATTGTTCGACTACATGTCTATTGAAAGCAAAAAAAAAGCGCACAACAAACGGCAAAGAAAGAGAGAAGCTGAATGGCACACTAACAAAGACTGTAGCAAACATATGGCAGCAACAACGACTAACACCATACCCGCCAAACAACGTATACCGTCTTGAATAGCCATCTTACACGTTATTCACTGTTTGAGTTTTGAATGGAAAACATCCGTTGTTTTTGGCTTGTTGTGTACGCGCGCGCGACTTATGCATTGCCAATAATTTTTTTTTTCTCTCACTGTTAAAGTTATTTCGTTTCTCTATTGCTTTGCCGGGAATTGCTTTACCTATCGGATGTTTTGAGTTCGATCTTTAGCTGCAGTTTGTGCTTTGCTCTCAACCCATCTCAACGCGTACCATTTTTGTTCGACAGAACAGTTTTGTAATTAATGGACATTATAGATGGTTTGTGGCTTCAGAATTTTTTTAAACTGGAAATACAGCGGATTTTAAGTAAATAAACACACATCTTTTTCAGTGAAAAATTCTTTTTCTGAAAGTGATTAAAAAAACGATTTTATTAAAACATAATTTTATGATAAAAGAAAGGCGGTTTGAATTTTTCATTTCGGTTGGACTTTCCTCAACTTTTTTTTCGAAGCGCGAAAAAGTGAAAAAATTAAAAATATATATATAAAAACAAAAAATAATCCACAAAAATATAAAAAGAAGTGATTTTAATAGCGAAAAACGAATTTTAACACCTTAAAAATCACCATTGAATTTTATTGAACGAAAGTTTTTTTTCTCTCGAAAAAAGGTGATCAAATAAGTTGTTCAATAGGCATGTATTGTGTGGCCAGTTAAATTTTGCGATTAGAAATCCACATTGGATCAAAGCTCGCACAAACATTTTAATCATCATGTTTTGGTTTGTTTTGTTATTTTTCTCTTCAAAAACCCTTAATTAATGGCGCTGCGTGAACTAAATGAAAATAATTGTCGATTGAATTAAGAAATTAAAGTTGATTTGGTGTGACTGGCAGTGCACGGTTGCATGTGAGTGCAATTTCCATGGCATTCCATCTGCGAAAAAAAAAGCAAAACACAAACGCATGGAACAGAACAATTACATAGTTGTTAATAGCTCATTCGTTGCACGATTACAGTTCTAGCATGCGGTGGTGATTGGCATGAGATATACTCTCTACATGGTAATGTACACGCGGCACCCACTTAAATGCGTTTTAGATACGCAGAAATAAAGCGTCTGACGGGCGTCAAAATGTAAAAAAATGCATGTAAAATTAATTTGAGACAATCATAATCGTCGTCTGCATTAAACGGTCATTAAATTCATGCAGATGCTTTCATTTTACAAAATGAGGCCGATGATTTACGAGAAAATCACCATTTTCATATTTCTGTTTTAACAAATTGATAAATCATCGGCTGTTGCTGCTGATGGGATAATTTGATGTGCTGTTCTGCATTGCTTTCGTTGTTGACACGATAATAACTTGATGATTGTATTAGAAAATCCGCTGCGGCAATAACGGTGGCAGATAAAATACAATACATCAAACGAACGATGAAACGAAGTCATG